GTTCATTACACCATATGATTCACAAACTTACTTAATTGCTTTTGATAAATTGTCCAAGCAAATGTGCGGAAGCTGGTTATTAATTTTAATGATTTATGGCAATTTGTTGCATTCAGGAAAATGAGAAATCTAAAAGTTAAGTTAAGGTCAACATAACATAATTCATCAATTACCATAAAGGATTAAAATAAATTAATTCAAGATAAAAAATATTAAATTATTACTCTACAGATTGAGGCAGCCCACATTAGGACACAAATATCATAAACATCACCTATATTAAGTAAATTTCTTAGTTGGTTACTCAAGTACATTTGATCTTAAATGAAAATGCCTTTACTGAATCAATCACACAGCTCATGGCTTCATCGGCATGTGCTCTAAGCTAACCGCAACGTTTCACGCTGGTAACGCTTTCGTTTAAAAAGCACAATTGTAGGCACTCTTTCGAAGTTCTCACTTCTTAAAGTTATATAGACATGAATAATGCAAAATATTACCAGTAATAGAGAATTTTAATATTTACTGGATCTCCAATAACTATTATACTTTTCACTTTGTGAAAAGTGCTTTGTTAGAGTCTTAAAGGTTAATTATAGTTCTACTCAAAATATACTTATAGCACTGTTAAGCATGAAATAAACTAGAATGGACAATAAGAGAACCGCTGGCTCAGACGTTAAATTGGCATTCCTTTCCAGATACGGTTCAAAAGATTTTAATAATAACTCTCGTCTCTCTTTTCCAACCTTAACGTTTTAATTACACTTGTGAACCGCGCCAAGTTGGCAGCCATTTTGTGTTCTTCCGCGATATTATTTTTCTATTCAAATTCATTTATATGCTGTTGTTGTTGTTGGTGTAAAGTGGATAAAGAGTTCCCATTTTGTTCATTGGTATTTTTGTTATTTATATTTACATATCTACTAAGGCTGTGATAACGTTATGACTGGGCACTCACTTTTAATTGAACATTGTCGAAAAATCTCAGTTGAAATCCCGGTGCCGAAGCCAATAAAATTGTTAAGTTGCATTTTTAAATGCTCACTTAGCACATGCTCAGCGGTGAGGGAAAACATCGCGATGAACCCTGCAGGAGAGGTCTCAGCCCAGCACTGGGACACGTAGGGCTAAAACATATTTTCCTCCTTAGAAAACCTGAGGAATATTACATTACATTTATAGATAATATTCCGTACAGACAATGTTGTATTGTTAAGAATCGAATTTTGGAAATAATTGTAATAAATGTTGATAATTATAAATAATTGAGTCCAAAAATAAAATTCTGAATTGTTACGAAGATGAGTTAAAAATCTCGGGACCTAAAGGAAAATGAAACATGGAATAAACAAAGATGACTTAATTTTTAGATACAATGGTGTCTCTATCTAGTTCTATTAATTGCTCATTGTTTGTTGTTCATTGAACATCTGTTTTCCAAGGCATCAATGCCGATCTAATAAAATGACCCCAGAAGTTATCAAAACATTTATTTAACGCAAGTGAACATTTTTAGCCATTAAAACATTTTTGTTTGCATTTTGGAACTGATGAAAATGCGAAAGAATAAAACTGAAACGTAAGCTGGATGAGGCTGTGATTCTAAACAAAAATAACCACCTCCGTTGTGATTTTCGTTTATAATATACTAGCGAACCACCCCGGCTTGGCACGTGTAATGTATTATACATATAAACCTTCCTCTTGAATCACTCTATCTAGTAAATAAAAACCACATCAAGATCCGGTTTAAAGATCTAAGCGTACATAGCGACAGACAGACAGCGGGACGACTTTGTTTTATACTATGTAGTGATATATTCAACGGAGGCGCGAACGGAAGCATTATCTTGATGGATCTGTCGGTTGTTTCTGAACAATCCAGGGGTGAAACCGTTGATTAAACCGCTGATTAGTTCACATAAACAATGTAAAATTTATATTTCCGCTCTTTCAAGGTAGACGACCATTTCCAGCCGACAAAATACTTTAGTTGAATCGGTGCGCCAGTTTTTTTTCCACTGGTGGCTCAGGATCGTACTTCAGGGCAGTCTGTGGGGAAGGCCTATGTTCAGCAGTGGACTCAAGGCAGTCTATGGCGGAGGACTATGTTCAGCAGTGGACTCAAACAGGCTGAAATGATGATGATGATGAAATGAACAAAAATATATTATTAATATTTCCACAATCGTTTCATCACACCCTTGTATATGATTTTTTTCTCTTGTAGAACGAATTCTAGGATATTAAGTAACAAAAATGATGAATGAAAAATTGTTTCAAATATATTTAATATTAAAAATTCGAAATGTCTTTTTGGATTTCAAAAGCCCCTTTAGAACATAATGGTGGTTAAACGTTGCGGTGAATTTATTCAACTTTACTTATATCAAAGCACTGTTTCGCATCGGAAATGGAGTTTTCGTTTAATGTTTACTCTCGAGAGCAAGTTAAATTTACGAACAACATTTACTGTTCCAGAGATTACATTAAAATGAAAAGTTTATAGAGTTAAATAATCTGCTTTGGCAGAGCCTGCTTCCATCAATAAGCAATTTTTTTCTTTAATAATAATTTATAATATGCATAAATCAAATTTTAAAACTGTATCCCAACACCAACCAACGTGTACACGTTGGGATATCAGCATTTTCCGCATCTAATTATTATTAAGTTTCTGCCAGTTAAACCCTATTACGAGTATATTCGCCTGGAAGACACTGATGTTGTATTTCGACGGGTAATTTCACATTGGCCGATTATTTAACTCGTTCGCTCTGAGCATGAGTGATGAGGCAAACCTCTTGTTCGGATGCGGGAAGTGAGAGAATAAAAGGGAAGATGATTAAATCTTATTCGTCGTAGGGATGGATCACTTATATACAATTTTCGTATTGGCCGACAATCAGCAACATTTATGAATTAACTGCATTAATTGCTGTCTTAATTAATTCCATCACGCTTACCCCGAATTAGAGCATAGTTTTATTGTAATAACTCTGCCCAAGGATAGTTCCGTTATTAACGCAAGGTATTGTTATTTTTTTACAGAAGATACTGAAGTTAATGGCTTATTTAGTAGTTTATAGCTTCATTAATAATTTCTTGGCCGCTGAGCAATGCTGAGTATGTCGAGCAAGCTCTGCATGACAAAAAACTTCGAGCAACGCTCCTGCGTCACAGTTACCGTGTGAAATCACCATTAGTGGAGCTAGTACCTATTCTTCTACCATACGTCAGAGGAGTCTGTTGGCGCTGGCAACACTGTATACCGAATATGACGTTATCTACTCGAGCCAAGGGACACATGGTGGTATGGAGCACTGGTCACTTGGATTTCGGCCGCGTTCCCAGACGGTTATATAACCACTAGTGCTGCTTGTCGTTGGAATAGTTGTTAATATTCACGTTCAGTAATAGTTAAAATATTAGGATCAAGGTAAAATCGTTAGAACTCCTATAAGTCACTGATAAGATTGGCTACATATTGAAGCAGGGCATTTATTTTACGATAATAGGACCACGCAGCAGCCTCGGCTGTTGCCGAAGCCCATTTCATTTTAAGTTGGCAACGCATCTAAGGTCTCAAGGTTTCCATGGTCGGCGGTTATCACTTATAATAAGTGATCTCCAGGTCATTTTCCATCTTCTTACATAAAAATTCCTGTTTATCAATTTGAAAAAATTCTTCTTTCCACATGTAGTAGTGAAGACAATTTTATAATACGAATTATCTGTCGCCCGTGTTGCCAATTAAAATTGTCAACGAGTTTTGAATATCTATTTATTATACTACACAGTTCAATAGCATGATAAAAGCTTCCCTGAAGAGATCTGTCATATAAAGGGAAACCATAACAGCAGACCCAACACACACCGATCTGGAGACAAATCAGAGCATTCTACATTACTTAGAAAATAGCGTTTATCTCGTTTACACTCTGGTAAACGATATGTGATTCCAGTTGAAAAGTTTATTCCCGTAACGTTATGTATTCTAATCGTCGGGATTTAAAAATAAAAATAAACGCGATAAATTCTTTAAAAACATTTTCATTATCATACAGTTTATAGATCTAATATTTACAAAATTAAATCTATCTAAAATTACATATTATCTAATAAACCTAATTCACGCGGCATGATGCCAAGAACGCTAGCTGCATTTCCTCGCTGAATAGTTATGCTTAACCTTTGAGCGAGAAAAGAACCAGCTCTCTTGTCAACAGCCGCGGCGTTAAGCCTAGGCCTAAGTTAAATTTTTATTTACTATGTATTGTACTATTACGGTATTATCTATGATACACTACAGATTCTTGAATGCCCAATAAATGCCCATTTTTGAACCAGATTGTTTACTTAAACTGTAGATAATCAGGCAAAAGCTAATTTTGGTCACTCCATAAACGTAAAAATATGTTGAGAAAACTGTCAAACATATATAAAATTTGTTTCAGATTTTAAAATAACAACAAATTTTATAGCAATCTTCCAAGTTATTCTTAAAAGTAACGTAAAAGACAGCGATATATACTGCTAAGTATTCCTCTACTTATATAAAGTACAACTCTATTTTTAAATCAATAAGTCAATTTGAATAAAAAAATAAATATTAAATTTAAATAAATAAACAAGATAATTTTCTTTTGTACCCTATGTTTTGAACTTCCTTAATTCCATGAAACCGCCAGTAAAAAGCAGTAAAAATATATGCTTAAGGATCTTGAAGCTTTCTATCAGGCCTCAGGAGGAAAATGTTCATTTGTTCATATTGTTTTTCATATCTCTGTTCTTCTCTAAATTTTACAAGTGGCAGTAAATTTTGTTGTTCACGCGATTTAATTCCGAACTAAGTTCTCAGCATAGCATTAAGTTGAATGTGATATCCCAAAAATCCCAAGAATGTTGAGGTATTGTTAATCTGTTTTGTTATCGAATTTGTGTCAATTTATGTAGCATATTCTTCGTTTCCAGGAGGGCGGGCGGCTGGGAGCGCTATGATGAACGATACCCGAATACCACAAGTTTTCAACGAATCAAGCGGTAATATGACTTTCGTAGTTATAACTTATGACGTATACTAAAGAAAATCGATGTCACCTTTTGACGCGTTTAGAAAAGAAATATGATTTGATGAAATAATTTTTTTACGATAAGCGCGCACACTGACAGCCAAAACGCAACATGATGGTCACGACATGCTGGTCGAAGTTGGTTGCAAAGCGATCGACATTACGCTATTAGCATGGCAATTAATAATTAATAACTTTTAAGTAACTTCTAACTCCAAGTTATTTAATTAAACCGTTATCTATTGCAATTAATTTTGTAGCTACATCGATGGCATTATATATAGAATAGCTCACCATTTATAGACACCATGTGCATTGAGCACTCGGTCCAATTTTGTATGACTCGATCCAGTATATGCGGCTTATTTCGGCATTAGCATCTCGAATAATTGCTCGTCCAAAGTGCTTGTGCTAGCATAGACTAACTTAAAGTAACCCCAGAGAAAATAGTCGAAGGGTGTTTAGTCAAATGATCGCAAAAGAAATTTGATGAACGCTCTGTGTAAGATGACCCAGTCGCAACATTTTGCTTCACGACTTCGAGCACCGCTTATATGGCATGTTTCGCCACATTTTGGGCCCACAGCAAAGATCTATCAATGCTGTCGTATTTTGACAGGTCACTGGTAACTTTGACATTTATTGAAATATTACAACTGTAAAAACTACCATTGTTATCTTGTCAACCTATACTAAAACAATGTGCTGTACGGTGTGAAAGAAACAGGGTTCCGTTTTCAATGAAAATAGATATCCGGGATCAAGAGAATACTACGTATTGACGAAATAAATTATGTCTCCAAAAATTCACCACAAAACAAGCACAACTAATCAAACAATTAAGGTAAATATAAAAACACCTAACGATCCAGCAACAAATCTCGGAAAATAAAGCCCCTAACGTTGTCACAAGAAAATTTTTCTTATCACATTACAACTCGTCGTTTAATAAACTCTACTTCTCCCAAGAAATGGCAAAAAATCCTTGATGTAATCAAAAAATATGAAAGGTAAATCCTCATGCCACCGCCGGTCCCAACTTCGACGTAATCTCAATTTAACCCCTCCGACAGACCCTAATAGTGGCTGTGAGATTTAGGCGTACTCAATACATTGCTTATACATTCGCGCGCGATATTCCTTATACCAAAAAAAAAATTGGTATTGTGCGCAACGTAAATCGTATTATGCTAACCGTTTATTCATAACAAACTTTGCCGGTGGCTCTGTTTGCGTGGAATACGATAAAAGCCGACGAGCTATCCTAAAAACTAAATGTGAAATAATAAATGTATAATATAATTAGATTACATCGTCATAAATATTACACAGTTAAAGTTTGTGTACATAATCATAGGTTTGTTACATAATTTTATACGACTTGGCGATAAGGTTATATTGAAAGGACAATTTGTGTTCAGTCGAGACAGCGCTACATATATATCACATCCACAAAAGTACCATAATCTCACAGGAAACTGGCGCGAAGTAGAAGTTATTACTACTATACCGTTACTATGACGTTTCTGTTCCCGTAGCTATCAAACGCTCAAGGTTATCTGCTCCTCTGCGTGCAATATTTTTTTTTTTTATGTGAAAAGTTGCCAAACGAGCAGACGGTTCACCTGATGGTAAGTGAATACCGCCGCCCATGGACATTTGCTACACCCGAGGGTTACAGATGTGTTGACAACCTTTTGAAAATTGGGCTCCGGCTACCTCACTCACCAGACGAAACGCGAAAGTATTTGTCATATTTCCACTTTACGCTGGTCTTCTGTGAGGTCGTGGTACTTACCCGGACGGGCCTGCCCATTCGTGCAACAGCCGAGGCTGCTGCGTGGCCCTACCAAAGTATCGCAGTATCGGAGCGAAACAGATGGAGACAGCTCGTTGACCAATGAAATAAGACTCACGATCATCAGCAGTGAGGGAACGATTCAGAAGAAGAGAGGAAGATGCCGTCTAATGTGCTTTACGGGAAATGTACTTTTTCAATTATATTTTTATACCATACTAGCTTTTCGCGTTGAAGCTCTTAAATATCTTTCTTTAAAGTATACATATATTTTCAGGTTTTTCTAATTAAAAAATTGAAAAACCTCAAAATATGTCCTATGTACTTTCTCAGGCTCTAGACCATCTGTGTACCAAAATACATTTAAATCGGTTCAGTAGTTTTGGCGTGAAAGCGAGACAGACAGACAGAGTTACTTTCTTTATAACATGTGAATTTATGTTGTCCAAAAATTCAAATCTGCAACTGTATCAAGGGAACTGCCTACACCTTCTCTCATAAAAAGTATAAGTTTTTTTTTTGGTTTGGGCTTTCACTGTTGATCTTTAGGAGACCTTTACACATGCCGTTGAGGTGGCTGGGCGATGAGCTAGCCTGAACACTTTTTATGTATTTATTTATATACTTTTAGTACACAAAACACAAATACAAAATGTAAACTTAACACAATGCCTGAGTACTTTGCCTGATAACCTGGTGAGAAAAATATATTATAGAAGGTAGCTGGAAATGTGTTTATACAGCGTGTCGTTACAATCGCGACAATAAATGAACATACGTCTAACGCTACTTGCCAATAATCATAAAAAAATGTTAACGTTAAAAACAATCCATTATTAAAAAAATATTTTTCAAACAAAGTAATTAAGTAAAAAAGAAACAAAATTTGTAACATCCTATACAACTACAACTGACTGATTCATACATTCAGAGACTTTTTCATTCGTTGCCAGTGTCGCATTACAAGTCTCTCCTTCTAACAGTATGTTTTGTCTCTTTTAAATTCATTCAACCCATTTATATGCTGTGTGACCTTTACAAATGAACTTTATGTTACAGTTTTATACGTAAGGGTTTTCTAAAATTGTTTGTTTTGAAAAATTTAATAACTCGGTAAATATTGATGTTTAAAGAATGTTAATGTTTAATACAATTTAAAAAAGTTATCCTCTATATGTGTGTTCATTTACTGTCGCGATTGTAAAGACACGCTGTATACATATAATTTGAAAGCTAATTTTGTTAGTGCCTGCTGTGTATTGGGAGTCAAACCGTATAAAGATCTCTCAAGGAATATTTAAAGTACAGAGACAGTTGTTCGAAGTACACTTATCTTACGTATAATTTAATTTGATCGTAAAATCGCCGCTTTGAATCATAAAAGCGGCTTTGAGTCTGCACTTAAAACAGTGAAGGAGATTGATCGTTTTATGGCGTTTTGCAATAACAACAACTTTCGATAGCCGCGGATCGGTGGTGAAATTTGCATTTTTATTTACAATTTTTATTACGTCATCATTATTATTATTACTTCAACACAGCTCCGTTCTAATTTCTGGGGACACTGTCATTAGGGTTTAATTTTACTTATTGAGGGAAGTCGTTGCTCCACTTTGACTGCACAGGCCGACAATTTTTATCAGAATTCCTCATAAGCCTTCTTAACTTTTCGAATTTAAAAGTTCTGACATAAGCCGTCACCTGCTGGCCTTGTCGTTTAAATGTCGGGGTCAGGAACTGACGGTTGTTCTTAATAGCAATTTATAATTTAAACTCCTAACAAGCAATAAGAGATATTCAATGGCAGGTGTTTCTCAAGGTTCTAAATGAATTACATCCCTAAACCCCCAAAGCACTGCCAACTGTCTCAGCGTCAGAATCGATTTCAAGCCAAAAAGGGCCGTAGCAATCACTTACTTACCCTCAGACTTACACTAGAGCTAATATCAACATCCCATTGAACTGAGCTCATCAGAACAGAAATCTAAAAAAAATCATCTTGTTCAGTCAACCAATATCTTAGAAGAGCGCATTTGGCGCTCTTCTAAGATACCCTGGAGTCATTTTCGTTTCAAAAATGTCTTTTAATACTCAATACTAACCGTTAGAAACCGATCCGCCATAGTCGCTATAACACACAATCTATAATCGAGGCATAAGTTTTTGTTATACAATACTAGCGTACAACCCATAATGTCATACGCATGTCTTTTTCCCACGTCCATCCTTTACAAACTTCAGTTCATTTAAAAAGTTTATCTGCCTCACAACTGATGCTAAGTAGTGTTAGTGTAATATTGAATACAGACTCTCGACGCTGCGCGTACAGAGAGCTTCAGAAAGCTAATCAAACGGTCCATCTTAAGAATCGAAAATCATTCCAACCTTAGGATGTTAAACGCAAGCTGCATTTACCGTCAAGGCAACGTCTTCATCGAACTGGTTAAGGAAAGGGCCATAGGTAGGTCTGATCCATCAAGGGCCCCGCTAGATATTATTTTACACACATATAGTATGGACACATATAACCAGTTAGTTCTTCCTCGGCTACCATTACGGTGAAGCCAATAAAAGGCTTACGCAGCTTTAACAGTAGTAGTTGGATGAACTGGGTTTTTTTTCTCACAAAAGAAGGAACTTGAAAAAACAACTCGGAATAAAAAATCATCTGGACTCAAACCGGGGTCTTGTGCGCAATCACCCGATTTCCCAACTGAGCTATTATAACCTTGTAGATGGTGGCGAAATTTACCTTCATATTTTTATCATATTGCAGTAGTTTTTCATTGCATGAAAACACGGATAAAACGACGTTTTATCCGTGTTTACGTGACGTTAAACCTAGCTAGGTTTTTATGGTGGTAGGGCGGCGGTGTTCACTTACCATCAGGTGGACCGTCTGTTCGTTTGGCAACTTTTCACATAAAAAAAGCTAGATCGATTTATTGCCCCTAAAACTTCCAACGCAATAAATTTCATGAAAATCATTGTAGCCGTTCCCGTGATTCAGATTATATATAAACAAGAAATGCCCGTTTAAAGGTATTCGATAGACAGATAGATATGAAAAAAAAAAACAAAAACAAGGTAAGAGTAATTTAGTTTTATATGACTCAATTAAACTGAATATGATTATTTTAAGCAGGTGAAAATATCATCGCTATTCCCCAGCAAATTTTTCAGTACTTAATACTTACCCATTAATTATACGAAGAAAACACGACAGTAAGTAGCTACCAATATCGGCATATTCATGTTTACTTGCTTGGTCTTCACAAGACAATGTCTTTTGACTATTGTTAATTGGACTTCTTACTTACAGCGACGCCTTATTCGATTAACTGATTAGTCTAACACTCGTAGGAATAACATGTGAGGCAGTAAATTCTTAAAAATGGCAATTCATCACATTAAAATTACAGTGGATTACAATATTAAATAAACCATAAATTAGGTCCGTAGCTACACATGTATCACAAGTGCTTACGCCTTTAAGGATTCCTCCTGACATAAGCATCAGCTGTAAATGAAAACAATTTTGCGGTTTACAATCGACGTGATTTACGCCTTTCCACCCAAAAATTTGTGTAGATGACATGAGTAAATTTATAGACACTTCCGTCTGACCGCCGAGGTCTAACAGAGCTTTGGAATATTGTTAAATTCGCAGTTGTAAATTATCTGAATGTAAAATGAATAAAAATTGTTATATTTTATAAACAACGATTCAATTAATTACTTACAATACTTCAATAGACAAACTAAAAATTACGTGAACTGATCGAACAAATCCAATGCTCAGTCTAATAGTAACTGTACACCGCCTTGGTGACTATTTATATAATTTGGTGACACCAACAAAAGTTTCTTTATCTCGAATTTCACAGAGTCCCGTCCGTTTCACGGTCGTGCTGCTACATAGACCTTCACTTATTTTTTTTTGTTTTTCTTGTTATGTGTACATTTATTTCAAGTTTTTTCAATATTATTTTATATACTGCGTAGTTACATTATTTTCTAAGTTTTGTATGTATCCATTGCGCTTAGACCGTGAATAAACGTTTCTTCTTCTCCTTCTACTTCGTACATCCCAAAATCTAGTTGAGTATCGTGGTAAAACAGACGAATCCCCTCTCAGCCAGCAGTCTTTTCGGATATGTGGAAAGGAGATAAGGCATGGATTTTGTGATTTCCGGAAGGATGCTGCAGCTGAGTGGGGTCGATGGAGAAATCCAACTAGAAGACGAGACCACAGGAAAGACTGCAGCTCACCAAGACTTTCGAAATGTCAAAGTATTTTCCTTGTGAAAATGAACGTCAATTGTGGCAATTGTGATACCACAGACTAATGGTATTGGTAGACAGCTTCTAAAGCCCTGTGAAAGTCATCGGCTCCAAATAATGTTAAGACATCACGGTAGTAACGCGATGATACTAAAGACAACAATACTGCATCTAGCACGAGACTATCTCCGCTAAACGAAGAGGGAGCTATAGTAAAATTCTGACATACATTCCATGAAACCTCATCATACCTGGTGACGAAAACCTTTAGGTTATATAGTCAATGCTAACCTGACGGAAGCTATCCACCTTATATCTGGCCTCAAGATGTCCATTAAATTTTCCCATGTAAAAGTCCCTTACCCTAAAACATAACTGTCTCGTGTACACTTTAAAATTTGAACAAGTCCAACCGTACATTGTCTGTTTCAGATGACGTCACGTATTCCTCGACGTCTGATTGGTACGATAGCAGCAACTGTTCATGGGTGGACACGGTGTCATGGGGATGTAACTCGACAGTTAACACTACCGGTGCCAATGTCACCACTAGTGACGTCACGTCGCTCGTCCTCATGGCGGTTACATCTGTGGTGCTTGCGCTCATCATCCTTGCTACAATTGTCGGTAAGATTTTCTTCAAAAGTCAATTCAAGTAACAATAAGTAAGATCAGCTTTATCCGAATATGATCACGGCTGCCTATATTCAAAACATTTCAGGACATGTTTCGCACTATCGGCTAATTTTCTTCAAGATATGTTATTCTATATCTTACTATATCATGTTATTAGTGTGTTCATATCGTACTGGTATGATTAAGGTATATATTAGGTGGTTAAGAACCCTTTTTTACTATCACATGTAGATTAAAAAAGCGTACATCCATCCTATCACGTAAGCTGATTGTATACTTGTATATGTGTATACTTGTTGCCACAATTTTCGTTTCTAGCGAAAAACGCCACGTTGCATGACGGCTTTTCTCGCCCTTTTCAGGAATAAATGTATAAAGGTATAAAAAAAATTTAATTAATATGTTTATTTTATTATTTCATGATCGTTGCTACAAATGTGTATTTATTTTTAAGAGGGATATTTTTTTGAGATATATTTATTTTGTTCTAAGAATTAAATCTTACGTGTGTATACACATCTTTTTTTTTTTACTTTAATTGTAGTTAAATAGAAAGTAACAATTACGAGAGAGAGAAGTTATTTAACAAAAACATGACTAGTGACCAAAATTAGCTAAAATCAGTTTTACTGTTAGTTCTATCCCTAGAAGTATAATTTTTTTATACCTCGCTCTAAAATATGTGATGAAATTTTAATGGAAATTATCATACACTATATTGAAGATATCGCCAGTGCCGGATTAATCACGTAGCGAGAGTAGCAATAGCTACGGGCCCCGTGCCAGAGGGGGCCGCGCACATGTAAACCCACTCATCTCTGCCTCAGCCTTAATTTACTGAGTGAAACTTATTAAAATATATATATATATATATATATATATATATATATATATATATATATATATATATTGGGATTTGTTTTATCACTTTATACTTGAAAACCCATAGCAGATCAAGGGCCGTTTGAAAGAATTTACTACGAGCCCCGCGCTTGCTTAATGCGGCACTGGGTATCACGCTATTGCGTTAAAAGCTCTGTTTTCAATTATCACCTTACCATTAGCGCAAATGAGTCTTGTAGGAACTAGAGTATTTGATGCAAATTAAAACGTCGAGATCAGAACAGATAATAAGCTTTTTTGATTGTTTTTCCTCGGACGATTATATCAAATGTTTTGTTACTTCTGTTTATGACCTCATATGGACCCACGTATGATGCTTCGAAAGCTTTTTGAGCTGGGCCTTGGCGTAAGTATACGAGCGTACTTAAGTCCTTTGGCACGTAGAATGGGCGGTTAGGACTCGAGTGCCAGGAGGTAGGCTGCGGTGATATATTGGCAAAATATGTGCGGAGTCGGCTAACCAAACTGTTCGTATCCATTGTTGCCCCGGTTACAGGAGTGAGAAATTGTCCAGGCAGTCGAACTGGCTCGCCGTAAACAATCTCTGCAGCTGAAGCTTGGATGTCTTCTTTCCATGCACTACGAATACCGAGTAGTACCCATGGAAGTACTTCTGTCCATCTTGAAGTTGCGTGACAGGTGATTGTTGCCTTAAGCTGACGATGTAATCTCTCTACTAAACCATTAGAAGCCGGATGGTATGCTGTTGTAGTGTGATGAAATGACGATAAGAGCCGCAAGATCTCTGAAAGTTTGTGATTTAAACTGAAGGCCAAGGTCTGTCGTGATATGCTCAGGACAACCAAACCGTGCGATCCAACCGGTTATTAATGCATTTGCACAGGTTTCTGCAGTAATATTTTGCAATGGATAAGCCTCTGGCCAACGAGAGAAACGGTTGACGATTGTTAGACAGTACTTGAAGCCGTTAGATAAAGGTAGTGGACTGACTATGTCTAAGTGGATGTGGCAAAATCGATATGATGGTGTTGCGATTCGTGACAATGGCGTAGAAGTGTGTCTGGCAACCTTGCATTGTTGGCACTTTTGACATTCCTTGGCCCATTTTCTATAATCTTTTCGCACGCCGGGCCATACAAATCTTTCACTCACTAAATGGGCTGTTGCTTTAGGTCCAGGGTGGCTTCGCAGAAGACGGCGCAGGGACACTGAATTGGAGGCTGAGCTGTACGCCTCCTTCAGAACGGCAAAGATGGCTTTGCAGGTGGGGATAGGCCGCGCGATCGCCGTTGCCAGGGAGGAGTTCTTGGCTGCATTGGACCGTGATCCCTGGGGGCGGCCGTACAGGATGGTGATGAATAAACTTCGCCCCTGGGCCCCCCCTTTGACACAGAGCCTGCAGCCACAACTAGTATCGGCGATCGCCGCGGCCTTATTTCCACAGAGGGAGTACCACACGTCACCCACGATGGTTCCACCAAACACGGATGACGCTGACCCGGACATAGAAGTGCCTGAGGTGACTCCGGGCGAGTTCGGTGCGGCTCTTTTAAAGATGAAAGCCAAGAGCACTGCCCCGGGTCCCGATGGCATCCCGGGTCGAGCATGGGTACCGGCCCTTGAGGACGCTCTGGAGCCCAGGCTGAGGGCGATGTTTACTGCCTGTCTGGCTCAAGCCATTATCCCACAGAGGTGGAAGACAGGCAGACTCGTCCTCATCCAGAAGGAAGGGCGTCCAACTGACTCCCCGTCCGCCTATCGGCCGATAGTGCTTCTCGACGATGTGGGCAAGCTCTTCGAAAGAGTGATCGCCAGCCGCATCGTCAAGCACCTGGAGCACGTCGGCCCAAATTTGGCGGACAGACAGTTTGGGTTCCGCAGGGGCCGGTCAACCATTCACGCGGTGCTGCGATTGAGGTCCCTCGTGCAGGAGGCGGTTTCCCAGGGTGAGGTCGTCTTGGCGGTGTCTCTTGACATCGCCAATGCCTTTAACACCTTGCCCTGGGCTTGCATAAAGGAGGCGCTCCGGTTCCATGGAGTGCCTCTCTACCTGTGCCGCATCATTGGGGCCTATTTGTCGCACCGACGTGTGATGTACCCGTGCCGAGACGGCTACGGGACCACAGAGGTGACGTGTGGAGTTCCACAGGGGTCGGTGTTAGGGCCACTCCTGTGGAACGTAGGCTATGATTGGGGTGCTGCGCGGCGCCTACCTCAGGGGTGTCGAGGTAACTTGTTATGCTGACGACACCCTTGTCACCGCCCGCGGTGCCAATTTTCACCGAGCGGCTATTCTCGCCACCGCGAGTGTGGCGCACGTGGTGGGACGCATTCGGCGACTGGGGCTAGAGGTGGCGCTTAATAAATCCGAAGCCCTATGCTTCTATGGGCCCCGGAATGCGCCACCTGCGGACGCCCACATAATAGTGTGCGGCGTCCGAGTCGACGTCAAGCCGACAATGAGGTATCTTGGCCTAGTCCTGGATCGCCGATGGAATTTTGTTCCCCACTTCGAGCGCCTAGCTTCAAAAGTGGCGAGAGCAGCGGCAGCTCTCGGAAGGCTGCTCCCGAACGTTGGCGGCCCCAACGACTCTTGCCGCCGCCTATACACCGGGGTTGTAAGGTCTATGGCCCTGTACGGTGCTCCCGTCTGGGCCGACACCCTGAATCGCCGGACCTTGATGCTTCTGCGCAGACCGCAGAGGGTGTTGGCTGTACGGGCCATACGGGGCTACCGGACGATATCCGGTGAGGCAGCGTGCGTGCTGGCAGGTTCCCTTCCCTGGGATCTAGAAGCCAGTATCCTCGCGTCGCTGCACTTCTGGCGTGAGGAGGCGATAGCCCGGGGCCACCTGCCGGCCTTAGAGGAGTTGAGGGGGTGTAGACTAACGTTGCGCTCACTCGCTATTGCTGAGTGGGAGCAGAGGCTGGAGCACCCCAGTGCCGGCCTAAGAACCATAGAGGCCATACGTCCGGTACTCAGTCGGTGGCTGGACAGGCGTCACGGCACCCTTACCTACCGGGCGACGCAGGTTCTCTCGGGACATGGCTGTTTCGGGAGGTACCTGTGCCGCTTAGCGGGGAGGGAGCCAACAGCGGTTTGCCACCACTGCGACGTATGTGCCGAGGAGACGGCCCAACACGCACTGGAGGAGTGCTCAGCCTGGCGGGAGCAGCGCCGAGAGTTGACATCTATCGTGGGGCACGATCTCTCGTTGCCTGCCGTGGTCCGCGCTATGGTGGACAGCGAGAGGTCGTGGGGTGCCGTCCTTGCATTCTGCGAGGACATAATCACCCGGAAGGAGGCCGCGGAGAGAGAAAGGGAGGCAACTGCCACCCTGGAAATCCGCCGCCGGAGACCAGGGCGCAGGAGGCTGGCCTACGCGCGCAACCTTCCCCCCTGATAGCAAGCCCCGGGGCGGCAGATGTGGGACTAACTGCTGCCCCGCGGAGGGCTTGAGAGGGGTGCCGTGTTTGTTGCACCGACACGGCACCATTTGGCTGGACCGGGTGTCCCTAACACCCGGGGAGAGGAGGCCTGAGAAGGTCACAGTCGCGCCGGGGTTCGCGGAAGATTGCGTTCTCGTGTTCCCGTGTCCCCCGGCAAAGCGATAGCGCAGGTGCAACGTGGGTTTTTTAGTGGGTACGTGTAACTCCCACATACCCCTGCTGCCTACCCACAAGGCAGCGGGGAATCCATAAAGGATTTTTCCCACGTTAAAAAAAAAAAAAAAAAAAAAAAAAAAAAAAAAAAAAAAAAAAAAAAAAAAAAAAAAAAAAGGTCCAGGGTGGCTTAGGTTGTGTAACATGCAGAACACCTGGTAACGAAACTGGTAGTAATGAACGGCCTTGGACTATTAAAGGAGGTGTCACAGTAAATCGGCAAGTTCGTATCTGGTACTTCCAATTTTTCAAGCTTAAGTGCCGAGCCATTAAAATAACAGTTTTTGTAGCTCAATGTCAGTTTCTTGCGCCTGGGCTAAAGATTTGTAATCCATGGGCGTGGATAACTCCGTGACACGAGAAAGTGCATCTGCTACGATATTTTCTTTTCCAACCACGTACTGGATATTCGTACTAAATTGACTTATAAAATCTAAATATCTGAATTGGCGTGGCGAGCAATT